TCGGGACATAATATTCCCATGTAAAGGTTTCCATATCTTCGTGATGAAGGCCTGCTTCCCTAAGGGCCGGCCACCCCGACGCCCCTAGGGAGCCGGGAGCCGCAGCACCACCTTCGAGGGCGGGCCGCCGTGATCTCGCTCACCCCGAGTGTGATCCTGACGCATCCATCACCTCAGGGGCCATAAACACCTTGGGTTATCAGACAGCATCTAAATCATGGGCCGTTTACCTGCCTGGCGTCAGCCCTCTCCTTCCACTCGCTTTCTTTCTTTTCTCGCTTTCGCTCTCTTCTTCTGGCCCCATCTCCCTCTCCTTTCTCTCTCTTCCTCTCCCCCTCTCTGTCTATATCTTTCTTTCTTTCTCTATCACTGTCTCTATTTCTCTATCTCTGTCTGTCTCCCCCCCTCCCCATCCCTCCCTCCCACCTCTCTCTCTCTCTCTCTCTCTCTCTCTCTCTCTCTCTCTCTCTCTCTCTCTCTCTCTCTCTCTTTCTCGCTAACAGACGCCATGGTCAGAAAAAATCACGTTGTTTCAAATCATAAATGCGAGATTATCCCTCAAGGAAAAAAAAAACAGAGAAAATGAACACTTCACACGAATTCCTTGCAGGCGCCCATGGCAAAGGGTCGCACGGGAATCCTAAACATCCCAACTGACAGAAGACATAAACCAAAGTAAATGAGTAATGGTTTCTAAGGTTCTTCTCTTCCCTAAAATTTTAGTGTCCCTTTTTTTTACCAGTAAATGAATTTGTATTTATCAAAAGTATATCCTCTATTTAAAAAGTAAAAGACGTAATGTTAAAAGCATACACCAAATTTAAATATTATTTGATACCATCCTTATGGCTGTAAAAACCAAGTTATATTTTTTGCCTAGCCTGCTCAGGTAGGACTTAACTCACGAAATTTAATTAACGACAATACTCACTAGTATACCATAAGGTCATTGCTTTTAGGCGGTATCGTCAGCTGCTGTCCGACAGGGTTGGATAGATTGCAGAGTCGTGATACTTCATCCTCATAAACTATTATCATCGTGAAGTGTACAAAAATATTATACTCATCCCCCTAACTCTTTCTTTCTCTCTCTCTCTCTCTCTCTCTCTCTCTCTCTCTCTCTCTCTCTCTCTCTCTCTCTCTCTCTCTCTCTCTCCTTCTTTCTTTCTCCTTCTCTCTCTCCCACATACATACGTACGCCAGTAATCTTCAATCATATTATAATTGCAAGCCCAATAAGGCACAGAAATGGCACCATTACTTTACCATAAACACCCTCTGGCCAAGTGCATTCAAAAGCGGCCAACTTACTCCGAGATGGGAAGACCGCTTTATGGCCTTGCGAAGGTGCAGATCAGCCCTGAAATGCTCATATCAAAAGGCCACGCCATCAAGAACACCAAGCGAGGCTCACACTACTGCACCCCTAAAAGAGGCTTCAGATTCTCGTACGCCCTCACACTACCAACTGTTGAGGAACAGCTACTCACATCCAAGAGCCGACGAGCCTGGTGACCGCCGGCGTGGCGAGGCAGAGGAGGACGACCACGGCCGTCAGAAGCAGGTTGAGGAGGCCCACGACCCCCATGGTGTGTGAGCCTGACGACACCGCCTTCACCAGCACCCACGACGACCCAGGGACACCGCCACGTTCATGCCTGTCGGGGAAAAAGGAGGGTTTGTCAGTTGCGGGAAGAAGAAAAGTATTGCTGACGGGATAATGGGGGCTTTCTCTGTCGAGGTATTCGGGATACATGGTGCTGAAATGAATATCTAATAAGCTTTTCATATACGTTAAACACATCGGTCCTAATCCCCTAAACAGTCCCAGATTATACCAACATACACTACATTCCACAATGCATATCAGGCAACCAAACCACATTTTCTCTGCAAGAAAAGAAATCAATCATGTCTGAAAGTGGGTACTCTGACATCTGCCTGTTGTAAACCGAGTCGCGCACAAAACAATGAAACAGAGGTCCGGGAATTAAGGCCTTGAGACTAGTCAAATGAATTCCACTTGAACCTCTGGCCAATCCGACTCCCAAGTCCTTCCTCCTCCCGCAATGAAGAAAGGAGTTGCTGACAGGATCCCGCCACTCGCTGACCCTCCGACCTCCCTTACGAGACGTTATTTCCCGCGGTTTTGTGCGTCTGCGCAGTCGGGCTCGAGCGCGTGCGTGCGCACTGGAACCCGCCCGAACCGCAGCAACTACCGGGTACAGAGACCGGCCTCCTGGAGGTCGTGGCGCCGGCGGTCACCCAGTTACTCGATCCTTTAATTATCTCAGATTACACCGAGGGGATTAGGGCATTCTTACATATTCAATCGTACATCAGTGCTGAGGGCGGGAGGGCTTCGTGGCCGGCTCTCGGGCCCATCCACGGGCGAGGCGGACCGACATTCGGGCGTGGTCTATAGCCCCTACGAGTTCTACATTCTCGCTCAATCCACAGGTTTTCAATAGGATTTAAGTCACCATTTTGGGTATCATATATTGCGGGTGGTCTGGGGACACAGCTAATGGTAATTCATTTCTTCGCAGAATACGTAAACAAATGATGTAACTGGTCTCTCGGCACTGATGAATACAGCATTTCTCAAGCACATATCCGAGAGTGACTAAAACTGTCACTCTTTCCTAAGATAGAAGGGAGTGATGCTAGCTGTATAAAGTAAACATGATGCAAATATCACAAATGCAACATTTGACAAGTATCAGCCACTGTTCGTGTGATGCCACGGAAGCACGTTCTCACAGATCAGGACATCGACTGATCTCCATTTGACACGACTGCTGACAAAACAGAGGAAGCTATTTTTTTTTTAAAACATATTTCCCGCATCACTCGTTATCCTCTGCGACAAAACAAAACAAAAAAAAACAAATCCAACAAAAGACTTCTGAACTATGGCAATCAACTCCTCACGACTTCGACCTGCCCCGGCCCACCCGACCACGCGCCTCTGACTCCCCTATTGGCTGACGAGAGGCGAGGGCTCCGTGGATCACTCTTTCGCTCTCCGCTCTGACGACAATATCCCCCGCAGCTGTTTTGTAATGGAAATGTTTTTTGTTATACTTATTGCTATTGGGTGATATGGATGTTTTGTTTTCCGTTGTCGGCTTGTATAGTGATCACATATAGCTATCAGTAATTGTTCACTTTATTAGCTCTGAACTTTAAGAAAACGTGTGAAGATATTTATGAAGTTTTCATTAAATGGCAGCGAGAGAGAGAGAGAGAGAGAGAGAGAGAGAGAGAGAGAGAGAGAGAGAGAGAGAGAGAGAGAGAGAGAGAGAGAGAGAGAGAGAGTTTATCCCTTTTTTTTACTATTGATATTCAAATGACAATAATCATATCATCCATAGCAGCAGCAACAAGAACGATAAAAATGAAACTTACCAAAACACAGATAAACATTTCAACAACAACAAAGACAACAAAAACAACAATACTAGAAGACGCAACAAAAACAAAGCGACCTGACACGAAGCCGAGCGCCCTCTTCAGGTGCAGCCACAATCACAAGCCATCCGTCATGCTTATCTCGTTTCTTGAATCACTTTGGCCCGCGACAAAAGCTTTATGGAGATTCTGATACCAATTTTCCAGTTGAACGAATCAGCAACTGAAGGCCTCGGCGCGGCTCTCGACTCCTGGATTGGTATTCCCCGAGTGTTCGCGAGACCCGGCCGATTTCTGCGAGTAGAGTGGGTAGGACTCGTGCTCTGCGGATACGAGTCTCAAGGAGCGAGAAGGACTCGAACTCTGCGGATACAAGTCTCTAAGAGCGAGAAGGACTCTTGCTCTGTGGATATGAGTCTCAAGGAGCGGGTAGGACTCGAAATCTGAGGATCCATGTCTCCAAGAGCGGGTAGAACTCGTGCTCTGCGGATCCGAGTCTCCAAGAGCGGGTAGGGCTCGAACTCTGCGGATACAACTCCCTACGAGCGGGTAAGACTCGTACTCTGTGGATACCTGTTTGGGCTCTCTCCCCTTCGTCGCACGATTGCCTCATTATAAATTCCTTCTCGTATTTTTTTTATGACATATTATTTTTCGTGTCTGTTACACTGGGTAACCCGAGCCTTTGTTCTTCTCTGTTTTGTGTTACAGTCAACCTTCGCTGACAACAAGTGCAATTAGTGATAATCCCTTTTAAGACAAATGAGTTCTAAAAGCTTAGACGAAGCTCACGCCAACTCGCATCAAACATAAATAAAAAGATCGAACACCTAAAACAAAACACTAATAATAAGTAATGTTAGCCATTATGAGCACAACTGCTCACTCGGTCTTCATGACAGCTAGATGGCCTTGCCTCCCCTCGCTTCCCCTCCCTCCCCTCGCTTCCTCTCCCTCCCTCTATTCCCCTCCCACCCCTTGCTTTACCTTCCCCCTCTCTTCCCCTCCCCTCCCTACCTTCGCTTTTCCTCCCCCCTCTCTTCCCCCACCCTCTTCTCTCTTCCCCTCCCTCCCCTCTCTTCCCCTCCTACCCCTTGGTTTCCCTCCTTCCCCTCCTCCCCTCCAAACGTCCCCAAGGGCCCAGATCCCTCACTCCTCATGGAAAACCAGTACTCTTCCCCAACGCTAAAAGCATCCACCGACTTTTTTTTTCCAGCTTCATGAGCAAAGACAACAGCGCGCCGGCCTGGACCCAAGTGCTCCTCGCTTTCTTTGCGCCATGAGTTTACTTTTTTTTTTCTTCCTTTTTTTTTTTTTAGAGTCGCGGCTGCCTGGTATCCCTCCTGACCGCACACAAGCCACAGCCCTCATATAGGCGGTGACAGCTCGCTATTAGTCGCCGCCAAACCCAGCCTCATCACTGAGCTGTCTAACCACTTTGTCCGCTCTCTCGTTACTCCCGCTGCGCCCTCGCCACCGCGCAGATCGCTGCTCCCGCCCTCGCTCGCCCCGCCAGCCCTCGGGACGCCGCGCGCACGCCCTCGTCTGCGCGCGGGGAGGGTCTGGGGAATGGGGGGTATGGGGGT